ATTGAATAACACATGACGACTTGAAGATCCTATAGATAATAACACATGATAATGTGTGTGAATGCATTGAAACTAGTTTATAAGTGTGTATAATCACCAGATTATGAAGGAAACACTTACCAAAAACTGATCAAGAACTAACTTGGAAGAATTTAGTTATGAAAGATGAGAGTTTTTCCTTGAAGAAGAAAATGATGATGATGAAGGGCCTTTCGGCCGAGAGTAAAAGAGAGAGGGGGAAGGGGGTGGGGGTGGGTAGGGGTATGGGAGGACAAGTATTAGACTAATTGTGTACTACCTTAAGGTGTAATGTCCGTAGATTCGGGCTAGTCAATTTAGAGACGATAAGCGTCAAAAATGACTTTTTGGTAGAAGATTATTTAGGGTGGATAATCTTAACTAAGTTGTAGTGGTCGTGACAAGAATTCCGGAGATATAAAGAACGCCGAAATCCGAGTTATAACGAAGAAGTTATGACCTGCCGAAATTTCGCGACAAACCGGCACGACGCTGAATGACCTAAGATTGAATTTACGTTAGAGTGATATTTATCCTTAGTGATCTAAACGAAAGTTGTAGAGTTCGTTAAACCGAGAGCGTGCATAAAAAGAACGCTTAAATCTGACTTCACACACACACATGGGAAACACCATCTATAAACTTTAAATGCACATCAACAAAAACACTTTAGTTTATCTTCTAGAATCATAATCTAAGAGTAAAAACATGAAGTAAGAAGCGACTCTTTCACCTGAGTAAGATAGGATGAACAGCAGTAGAAAAACCCTTTGTAGTTTAGTTACCCGCTATCGCATCAACCAACCAAATTAAAAAATATTTTTAAGCACAAATCGACCTCACTAAATATAAAACAAAATTAAGAAAAACCGTCAAAAGCAAAAAAAAAAAAAAAAAAGGATAATCACCTAATATTAGGTTATCGATGTAAATGGAATCCAAAGTAACCGAAGCGGGGTTTCTATTCGGAAAAAGAAACACGATGATGAGAGGAAAATGATAAATCATCAAAACATATACCTCTAAAAAATAGTGCTTCCCTGGGTGAGATGATGATGTGCCTTTCAATCAAAAGTAGATAAGTTTGATATTTGTTTGTGCATAATCGGGTCGTTCCAGATATACGTCTGGTGAGTGTGTCCACAAACCGTAATCAAAATCTCAGTCGAAGATTTCTAAAAAGCATGAGAAGGGGCACATATTGTAATCGTTTGTGGTTTACCCGACTCCCGAACAACAGAAATTAGGACATATTTGTCGATGAGGAAAACAATGGTTTCTGTAAGGCAGTTTGGATTTGTAAGAGAGGTAAGCGCCAAAAGGTAGATAAATCAGTCCCAAGCATCGGCGGTGACCAAGGAATGAAGCGGTGGAGACAGTATTATCTCGAAGGTGGATAAAGAGGCGGTGACTAAGGAATGAAGTGTGGATACGCACATTAATCCGATTGTCATTAGTTAAAGTGGCGGTGAATCAAGCAATAATAGAACACGTTGTAAATATTGAAAAGTAAAAAAAAAAATTAAAAGAAATCCACATTTTTTTTTTTTTTTAAAAGTTCTGCCAATAAAAACAAAGTATTGTTCCTACAGGGGTTGTTATTTACTATATTATATAATACAAGACCATCGAATATTTAGTTTACTAATAATGTCATATATCCTTATAGACTATTACATGGTTATTTTTAATACTTTCTCCTTTAAGTTTGTTTGTAGATGAATAGGATCAAGAAGATTCTTTTATTTTTTATTTTTAAATTATATTGGTATCATGATTAATAAAATCATTTGCATAAAATATATATTCTAAAATTTGTACTCTAATTTATATTCTAATAAATAAAAATCTTTTTGGTACATGTCATGTTGTTATTGATATGGTCACAAGTCATTTTGTGGTTATTTTCAATTAAATTTTTTTCACATGACATTTTTGTGGTTGTTTTATTTTTATTAAATTTCATATAATATTTAATTAAATATATTAATTGCAATAAATATAATAATAAATGCATTTCAATTTCATTAATTGAATTTCCTTTTGATTTCAAAATTTGTAAATTAAAGATTATTAGTTTATTTGTTTATTTATCTAAATTATTTGTTTAAATTTAAAAGAGAAAAAAAAATATTTTAATTCTAATAATTTAATAGTTTTCTAATTTTCTTATAAATTCAAACTTTTCAAATATTTAGAGTTTCATATATTTTTTAAATGAACTCATATAATACATGGGTTTCATACATAGTTATTGTATTATCTACATTAATAAATAATAATCGTTTTGACACTTGTCCTCTTTTTACAGTATGTGACATGTTATTTTCTTATAATTTAGGTTTTCTTTTCACGTAGTCTAAAATAATTACACATCAAATTTGATAATAATAGTAGATATGATGTTTAAGGCCTTTAGTAAAGAAAGTCTCATAAAACGACAAAGTATATTACTAATTTATGGCAATTAAATTATGGGAATGATTAGGATAATTTTATATAATTTTAAGTTTACTTTTTAAAAATTAGATGATTTATCGGAAACTAAACCGGAAATAATTTAATGGAGCTTTAAAATTGAACTACAAATCATCCATGCAAAGAATTTTTAAACTTATGGACCTTAATTTAAAAGTCAAATCCTCAAAATCTTGACAATTTTGAATGGCTTTCCATTAGTTTGCATGAATTAAGGAAAGGATGAGGTTTATTTCAAATTTCGAATTGCAAATTCACCTTCACTTACGGTAAAAATTATTGTCATATTTTTCTCTCGAAGGTTCTAACGATAGACACTTCATCTTGACTGCTCATTATCCTTTCATTGAACATTGGCTCATTAGTGAATTATGTAGGTAATGCTTTCTTTCCCATCTGTTTTATGAGTTTTCCAAATAATACATGTAATCTTCATTATGGAAATTTTTATACATGTGTTATCGTATTGATTGTCTCCCACGCCTCTTCTATATTAAATTCTTACCTTTTTTTTTGTGGGGGTTATTTTGATTATGTGTTTGATTTTTTATTTTAAGTTCTGCGTTCACGAGAAGCATCTCGATTTTTGATTTTTCTTTTTATGGTTTTTACCTATCCATTGATTTGTCGGTTCTGTGTCATAGGAGCGACAATGATACCCATAAATTTCTTGCTTGGATTTTAAGTTTTTGGCATTGTTAGACTTCATCAAGCTCGGTTGATTCCTCACAAATCTTCATACCAAAATTCGCTTTAGATTTGAGTTTATATTCATACCTTGAAATTTATTCAATTAATTCAACAGAAGTTAGTTGCCTGAATCTACTTAATCTTTGTTTGTTTGGGAATTCATCATGAATCATGTGATTGGTGGGAAGTTCAAGCTTGGAAGAAAGATTGGTACCGGATCTTTTAAGAGCTTTATTTGGATAATTGTTTCCCTCATATCATAGTCTTTTTGTTTTTATTGTTCTTATGTAATAGTTTTGTTATGTTACATTTGTGAGTGATTTCTTTTTCATTATAGGAGTAAATGTTCATAATGGAGAAGAAGATGTTGTCAAGCTGGTATATATCTAGGGTTTTCAAGAATCTTTAAAACTAAGCGCCCACACAATGTAAGGCCAAATTGTACATGCTTCTTCAAGGGGGAATTGAGTTTTATATATTTCCGTTTTATCTCTCTTTTCTTTTTCTCTTAACATCCATTTTAAATAAAAAATGTAATATACCATTTCGTGGATATCACACAATTTATTTTAATCAAATTTCTAAATTAACAATCTTATAAATTATATAAACGTCCGCTCTAAGATTTACAACGTGTTGTATTAGGGATGAGCAAATGGACCGGGGAACCGGCCGAAACCGGTACCGGAACCGGAACCCGTTGGAACCAGTCGGGCCGGGACCGGGACGTTATTTTTGTAGATTTTTAGAACCGGGAACCGGTAGGAACCGGAACCGATATAACCGGAACCAGTAGAACCGGCAAAAACCGGAACCGTATGATGCTATTTTTAAAGGACCGGTTCCAACATTTGAAGACACGACAAGAACAGGTAGGAACCGGGAACCGGTAGAACCGGACCGATAGAACCGCCGGGCCGGTTCGGTTCTTGATTTTGGCCGAAGCCGGTTCCCGGTTCCGGTCCGGTTCGGGCCGGTTCCGACCGGTTCGGTCCTTTTGCTCATCCCTATGTTGTATATAAAAAATGCTTAATATTTATATTTTCATATTTAATTGTTTTAATTAACTTTTGTAATACACGGATCTCACTACTAATAATATATATATATATATATATATATATATATATATATATATATATATATATATATATATATATATATATATAAATAGCAACAATGGTGATCTGAATGCTTATGTGTTTATTTATACGTATGCTTAATGAATTGCGATCATGACTCTTAAAAATATTTAAGTTTTATATAATATTCAAGTTATATATATATTTTTTTCACTTTTTTTGTTTAGAAGATGTCTTCGAGAAATGTTTTCCCACCCGTAGACTTTGGTCCATGTCTTTTTGGAGAAGAGGACATGCAGACGTTTTGACATCTGTGGTCTTCTAAAAAACAATCAATCTACGAGAACATGCAGACGTAATTAACTTTCCGCTCGCATACATAAGTGTTCAAAAAGAGCTTCTCCAAAAAAATAAACACCATCTTAATATGTTAGGCCACCTGCTATGCATTGAATTCATATATGTTCAATGATTGCAACATCAACCATTCACTAACTATATTACTTTATCCATTAAACTTTTTACTACATTGTCTATGGAGAGAAAGAGAGAGAGATTCTATTGAATGTCATGTCATCAACCCGCAATCCATTCAACTCATCGCCTTCTATCCCCCTCATTACTTTTTCCCCCTTCAACTCTCGATTAACCCCCCATTGGAGATAGCCTTCTGGATACAATAGCCATAACAATGGTAAAATATCTTACACACATGTAGATCTTTAATGTGATATCAAATTCATTCAAAATTGATTCCTAAATGAAAGTTAATAATAGCAACAACCACCTAGTTTACCACCATCAAAATTGTCTAGAAGCTGAACAATTGCACAAATATCATATCAAATTCATCATGTAATGTAACTTAAAATCACAACAAAAAAATTTAACAAATTTTCAGGGCTATTCATCAGCTTCGGTTCTCCTTCTCTTCTTCCTTTCAGGTCCTTCCAAATTGCCAATTTCTCCCCCATCAACCTCTACATTCTTCCTCTTCTTCTTCTTCTTCTTCTTTTTCTTCTTGTCTTCACTCTTGTCTTCAACATTATCATTTTTAGGAACCCTAACATCATCTTCTTCTAAATTTCTTTGGCTTATATCAGATATGGTTGAAGCGTCTTCATTCGCCTTTTTCTTCAGCTTGTTGTGCTTTTTAAAGTATACAAGCTCGTTGAATGCCACAGAAGCACGACGAAGATAAGCTGACACCGATTGAGAAGCTCCATTGTCGGATGTTACAAATTTTGATAAGATATTGGCAGCTTTCGAGAGATTGACAGCCTTCGTAGATACAATTTTTCCAGAAACAGTTTTCATCTGAATCCAAAGAAAACAGTTTACAGATATATGAAAATTATACAATTCAATCAACAGAACAAAGATGACAATGACTAAGTCTAAAACAATGGCGAATTGATTACTGTTTTCCATCATATTTTCTAGGGCAGTTCAGAAATCCATAGCGAACGGATGAGCTAAAACATTACGAAAAAAGTACGTAAAATACCGCCATTAATACAAATTACAGACGAGAACATAACCTAGAAAGATTAAACAAACCCTAATTTCTTGTGAAGCAATGAAATAGGTGAAGAAATAATATGAATAAGAGAATGAACAAACCTGTAATCGATTGAAACGAACAAGTGGCCAGAAATTGAGAGAAGCGCAGACAATTGAGGGAAGATAGATATGATTCGAGAACCGAGAGTGCAAAGCTTTCAACTTTCTTTGACTTCGTTCTCCGTTTTCCTCAGCTCCTATTTTGGGCGGCGAAGGCGAATTTTCGACCCGTATGGTATGACCCGAGGTTTCTTATGTGTCCTATTTGACCCGTCTAACTACAAACAAACTGCATTAGTTTACACCATCTTTCTAATATAGCCCCAATTTTTTTTTAGAGTAAATTACACGAATGGTCCCTATGGTTTGGGGTAATTTGCGCGTTTGGTCCCTAACTTATTTTTTTAACTCGGAAAGTCCCTAATGTATGTTTTTGTTACGCGCTTAGTCCCTACTGTTTGTTTTTGTTACACGATTAGTCCATGTCTTATCTAAAAAGACTATTATTTAAATAGGAAAAAATTGTAGGATAGGTAGGATAAAGTGACAGGGGTTGGGTTTGGGGTGTGTTTATTTAAATATTTTAAAAAATCAAGGGCAAAATAGTTTTTTAGGTAAGATAGGGACCAAGCGTGTAACAAAAACAAACATTAGGGACCTTCCGAGTTAAAAAAATAAGTTAGGGACCAAACACGCAAATTACCCTAAACCATAGGGACCATTCGTGTAATTTACTCTTTTTTTATATAAAAGTCGCAAATTTTTAGAAACCTTTTATTTTTTACTTATTAGCATGTTACCAATCGGTCATACCATGTAACAAGCCGACAAGTCGGTCTTTGTTGATGTTGTTGCTGAAAATGATCTGTCCAGTCTCGAACTCGTGACCTAAGAGAAGGAAGGTCATCGTCTTAGCCATTTGGACTAAAGGTTCTCTTGTGGCATGGGATGACCGGTTGGTAACTGATTAATATATAAAAAAATAAAAGGTTTCTGAAAAATTATAGGTTTTACATAACAAAAAAAAAGTTTGGGGCTAAATTGGAAAGATGGTGTAAAACTAATGACTTTTATTGTAATAATCCAACAAAATATAGACCCATAAAAATGCAACGGTGTAATATTTAGCCTATCTCTAGAAATTACTCCTAACATAGAAAAGAAAAGAAAAAAAATCAGTTCATAATGAAAAAATAAAGAAATGTATCAATAATTAAATACATTAAATAATATTAAAAGTAAAAAGATGAACATTATATGAATACAAAAAATAATAAGAACAAATATTAAGACTAAACGAAGTGGGATCGCAACATGTCCTCGCTAAGCTTGTTATGGGCTCTAGAACACCGCCCCATAGCGCTCGCAAGGGGGGTCGCTAAGGGAGAATCGTTAGGTCCGTAGCGATAGGAGAGATAAGGTGGAGATGTGTTGTGATTGGTTGAGAAGAAAGGAGTCGGATTCCATCGGCCAATTTGAATGAATTGATTTCCATTGCAATTTGTTTGACTTCCCAAATTTATGTCCATTTATTTCCACCGACCTATTTAATAAAAAACGTTTTTAATTTATAAAATTCAAAATATTCAACTATAATCCAACTACTATAAATGAAACCACACTCTTAACATTTCAAACACACACACACACACACATACAAAATATAATTATCTTCCTCACATACTTTCTCAATTCATCAAAGAAAAATGTCTTCATCTCAACCAAACAAAACCCCATGAACCAACAAAAAGAAATCTTCAAGCCTTCCATCACTAGTATCAAGTCGTTTTTCTAGTATTGTAACACCCATGAAATTCAAGCAAATTCAAAACTTTTTAAATCATTAAAAAATCGAAGATTATTACAAATATGTTTTAAAATGGTTTAATGTCAGAGTATCCCATAATCAAATCATAAAAACATAAGTATGTGCACGATCACGCCTTCGCCTTCTCGCGATCATTAGAAGTACATAAAACAAAATCCAAAACTGTAAGCTCGAAGCGTAGTGAGCTTCCCCAAAATACCAACGCCATATAATCATAATCATATCATATAAACAAACAGCATGCATAATGAGCCATCAGCCTGACTGGACCGCCTTACAGGGCCATCAGTCTATTTGGACCGCTCTCCGAGCCATCGACACGTCTGGACCGCCTCTCAGGGTCTTCAGCCTATCCGGACCGCTTGCTGGGACTTCGGTCTGACTAGTATGCCCTCCCGGGTCTGCAATCTATTTGGTCCGCCTTAGGTATGTTGGCCTTCAGTACAAAGCAGGTCCACCTGAGCCCAACCCCCAATCAAACAATCATGTGCACATAAATATCATACGCTAGCATGTATATAACAGTCAAACCGATCTAATAGATCACTAATCATAGCAACATCCTATAACTAGGATACCAACCTAACCGGTCACTAACATAACATTATCCTATATACCAGGATACTGACCTAACCATATCACTAAACATATTGCCATCCTAACTACCAGGATGTAAATCAATAAGCATATCATGCAATAAACCCGGATACAAATCCGAAAAGGGCCGACATTGGTGCCTTCGACCCTGTTAGTATAGTGAGAACAACTCGCCTCACAAGTAGCTCGGGATGATAATGTCAAACTCCTCCAAATACAACTCCAACTCAAACACCTACATCCACCAATCATCCACTTCCACAAATTCTCAAATTACTAAAATGCCTCCAGAAGTTGAACGGGTCAATCCTTGGTCAAAGTCAATGGTTAAGGTAAACAAACCATGATGACCTAACTCGCCGAGTGAAGCCTACTGACTCGTCGAGTCCCTCCAGAACTCGATAAATCTCGAAAACCGTAGTTGACTCGCCGGGTTTCCAGACAACTCGTTGAGTCCATGCGGTGTCCAAATGTCGGGAAAACCCTAACTGACTCATCGAGTCATCTCACTGACTCGCCGAGTCCATGTAGAAACCAACCATGGACAACCTTCATCTGACTCGTCAAGTTGACCATGCAACCCGTTGAGTCCCTTCAGTCCATTTCTCATTCAGACATTTTTAAGATCCCCCAGAGCTCCAAATTGTAGATCTAGCTTCCTAAGGCACATATTCCATGTAAAGTTGCAAACTTTACGTGCATGCAAGGTCTTAAATGTCAAAACTAAGCTAATGGGAGAGGTTTAGGCCAAAGAGAAGGGCCCAAGCTTGATAAATTCAATAACTTTATGGCTATAAGGACTTAGAGGAGTCCAGAACTGAAGTTACAACTTCAGATCATGCTCAATACCCGAAATGATCCATAAACATGCTTAAATGGCCTTAAAACCAAGAATAATGAGATTTAGCACTATAATGATCAAGGTAACAACTTTTCACCTTCAAATGGTAGCCAAAATTTAGTACAAATATCATTAAATCCATTATTGAGGGGTGTTTAGTTGTTTATATAACTAAAAGGTCATTAAGTAATTATGGAGGGTAGTTTTTGAAATTTCAATTAGTATAAATAAGAGCCTTGGGCTCTCATATTTCTTGCACTATTCTCTTGATTCAAGAGTCTTTCTCTCCTTATCCCCCGAGCATTTCGGTCCCTCGTGATTCGACTTCTTTTTCTGTAGTTTTTAGTATAGTAAGGTGAGCGCTGAAGCACTGCACAAATCTTTCTTAGAAAGATTCAGCGACTAAGTTCTGCCCCTGCAGAGCCCGACTCCTAGCTAAAATCCCCTTGTAAGTAAGTTATGCTTACCCTATTTTAATATAACTTATATTTAAAATTAATATGTTATTATCAACTTATAATAAATATTTGAGCTATTATTATGACTTATATAAGTGTCCTTATAATATCTTTTTAACTACTTGCGGTACGAGGAATCTTGTTTAAAGGGTCGCATAGTGTTGTTGGATTTCAGAAGTGTTATACGCCAAAATGGTCCTGCCCTCTGGTGTCTTATGTCTGGCCCCTGTCTGTACATAGTGGTTGGAAAGTATTGTTTAAACTCTTATATAATAATAATAACAATAAGACTAATAGTTAGTCACGGTAAATATTAGACTAAAATCTAGTGGTAATAATACTAGGTTTCGTCGAAGGAAATTATTTTAAAGTAAACGAAGCGTTGTCCGAGTACCGAATCACCACCTTTTCAAGTGAGTGCATAGTTACTTTCATCTTACACATAGATATGAAGTATTTTATATATTACGTGCTATGTGTGCATATTATCTGTATACTTGCTATCTATGCTGGATGAATGTTTTTAGACAAGTTTTAAATGATTTAAATTGTATATGTATTTTATATCTACAAAAATGTTGGGGTAAAATATGGGTAGATGTAATAAGACGATGTGTGATAAAATGATGAGAGGCCTCGATGTTGTTGTTGTTGATCCAGTCATCTAGCGGAGTATAGATGACGACCATGAACTCTTCTAGACAGTCCAGTGGAACGCTGACAGGCTCGCAACCTATAGGTGTTTGTGAACAATGTGTTCACCGGTGTACTCCATCCCCCTCACGGTTGCCTTTAGGACATTTATTGTTGAGGAACCCCCTTAACAGTAATGTACATCCCGATGATGATCCTTATGATAGGTCCCTTATGATAGGTGTTTAGGGACGTAATGCGAGGATAACGGGAACGAGTAATCGGGTTATTGTTGGTCGATGAAATTAATAAACTTATTTATTGTGGGTTGAAAACCCTATGTGCTCACCAAGCTCCGAAGCCTGACCCACTCAGTTTTATGTATTACAGGTAGTGGCGCTCGAGCATAGTTGTGATGTGTTGGGATGAGGGATTACGGATATAGGCCTGTAGATATGAAATAATGTAGTAAGGCTTATATTGTATTGTTTATACTTATGTACTGTATCGAACATGACATCACGAGTCTTTTAATGAAAAATATTTCTAAGGAAATGCTTTTGATAACTCTTTATCATATTATTGTTTCGGGATAAATTCTCCAACTCTTTTATTAATAGGTTACTCTGATTTTGAAATAAAGTATAAACAAAACTGGTCTTTTCTGGCCGTGATTTTGGGGATGTCACATTGAGATAGCAGAAATAAGTCGAGTACCTTATGCTTCCACTGTAGGCTCGATCATGTATGCTATGACTTGTACTCGTCCTGATGTAGCCTTTTCTTTGAGCATGGTTAGTAGATATCAGGGGAATCCTGGCAAGGCTCACTGGACCGCGGTGAAGAATATCCTCAAGTACTTACGGAGGACTAAGGACTGGGTCCTTTCCCTCAGTGGGAGTGATGACTTGAGAGTTGTAGGGTATAGTGATGCTAGCTTCCAGACTAATAAGGATAATTTCTACTCTCAGTCAGGCTGGGTCTTTACCTTAAACGGAGGAGCAATTACTTGGAAAAGTTCCAAGTAGGAGACAGTGGCTGATTCAACTTGCGAATCAGAGTATGTAGTAGCAAGTGAGGCATCAAAGGAGGCAATATAGTTGAAGAACTTCATTGGAGATCTTAGAGTAGTACCAGCTATAAAGGAGCCTATGGAAATTTTCTATGATAGTGAAAGTGCAATTGCCTTAGCGAAAGAACCAATGGATCATGGGAGATCCAGACACATCGATAGAAAATACCATTTTATCAGACATCGAATAGAAGAATGACTCCTCGTGCCAAAGAGGGTATCATCAGATGAGAACCCAGCAGATCCCCTCATGAAGGGATAAGGTAGGGTTAAGCATCTCCAGCATGTGAGGCGCATAGGGCTGAAGGATGATATTAGTTTTAGTAGTTAGATAGATATGTAATTTGTAAAATGTAATTGACATTTGATGATGAATAAAAGTTGTGTTTATTTATGAGTAAAGTGTTGCTATCTTTTGTCAATCGTTTACTATTATTTCTTTTGCATGTTTTGATTTCCAAAATATTTATGTTATGTA